AACCATGGCACCTAATAATAAAGTCATAAATCGTCAAAATATTATCTAATACTTACGACCATTCGTCATATAAGACAAGAAAAGTATTTTCTTACTCCTGTCATGTAGAAATTAAAAGACATAAGTTATACAATATCTAGTTTGAATTCAACCTTAAGGTCGAACAAATAAAGATAATTTTTCCATTATTGTCTTGCGATCTATATCGTTTTGTTTTGTTTCGTTTTGCTTCTTCAAATTTCGAATTTCGCTACAGGAGGTATGTATGGAGTCGCGTTGGACACTAAAATAATTTTATAATATGAAAATTAACATTTCGGGATCTTAGTATACATCACTAATTTTTATTAGCGGTACGTTTTTGTGTATGATATGTTTATTTACTTTATCGTTAAAAGTCTAAGTCTAAGTCAAAATTATTTATTTCAGTTATACCAGGAAGGCACTTTTGAACAACAACAATATAAATTTAAAAGTGAAGCTATTTGCTCATTCCAAGGTGTAGATTCCTATGGAGAAGAACGAGCAAGAAACGATACAATTTCTTATTTTTTCAATACAAATCGACTCCATGCATCCACTGTTCTGTTTATACAAATGTTGGCGAGACTTGGCCAAGGAATCGCCAACACACGCACAAACATTGGTGGCGTTGGTTTATAATTGATAATTTTGTCTAATTTGATATTATTTACTAGTTTAAAAGCTTAAAATATAACTTATACTTTATGTACTTATCAAAAGTAAGACACTCCGGCCGTTATACTGCTTTTTCGGTTGTTATTTTTGCAACTTGCAATTACTCGTGAGACGTGAGTACATTGGCCGTGTTTGGAGCATACTAAACAAAATAAGAGCTCACTTCTCAAGTGAGCTCTTATTTGTCGAGACGATTTTCTTGCGCCGACCCGATATCTAGTTGTTATTGTTGATCGAAGTATGGAACAGTCTAAATAATTTATTATTGATTAAGGAAAGTACACAATGACTATTATTTTCAAATAATTATGTAGCTTTGTTATAAATTCATTCCCATCATCATCATCGATTGGAATACACCGAATTGTTGCATAAAGGTTTTCCTCTTTTAAATAGAACGAGAGGGAGGGGAAAATTACACTTGAAAGGCAGCAGCCTCCGTAAGTGGCTTAGGAGGTCGATCGCAGTACGGTCACCGAAAATTTAGAGACCAATATGAAAGCTCTTATTCATTTTGAATAGAATTTAACGTAGTCAAATTGTATTCAATATAAATAATTGTAATTACCTGAGACACCTGGCGACATTAGTGAGCACGTCCCTATCAGTGTGTAGGGCCAGTGCATCCACAAGCTCAGGCAGCGCGCCGCTGGCGAGGAACTCGTGCGCAAACTGATCCACTGCGCCCGCCAGGCTGCGCAGCGCTCCCGTCACTTGGTATAGCGCATGCGTACTCTGCTCGCCGAGGGAGCGAGGAGACTCCGCTTTCTAGGAGACAATGAAAGGTATATGCAATACAATTATGGAGGAGAAGATCGGAATGTTGCAAGAAAAGAAGAAATTTCTTTCCCTCACACTTACTGTGCTAAGCTGGGAAAATTCTTCTCATCATCTAGTTGGTCCTTGGAGAAAATGTTTAAACATTTTTCCTCCTTATTGTTAACTGTTATTACTGTTATTACTTAATTTGTAAAAGAAGACATGATTTTCACTTTCAGTTAAATATAAATGTTTTAAATTGTGTAAAGAAAGTCCGTACGGCATTATTGAGTATCTTGAGATGCAGCGCGGCCAGATGCGCGGCGCCGGCCCGCAGCGCGCGCGCCGCCAGCGCCGGGTCCAGCGCCAGCACGCGCAGCGCCGCGCAGCCGTACACGCAGCACGCGCCCTCCGACACCGGCTCCGCGCGCCCGCAGCCCTCCACCAACAGCTCTGTGCCAGGGACACCACACTATACCGACATACTCCTCTCTTGTCCTCTGTGGACCTATAGGCCTCCTCTACAAATGATGGATTTCCATTAATCTCCCTAATGCACTGGACATTTCCGAAAAAATACTCAAAATGGACCAATACTAAATAATTATCTATATTCATTCGATAATCCTAAAAGTGTATAAATACTGTCGATCGATCTAAAACGAAAATATGTTGAATTTTTATGCATTGTAAAAATGACTATCTCTACTTCCCTCGCCTGCCGAGACAGGTTGGAGATCGCAAATCAAAAGCCACCCTAAGTACACGCCATAAAGTTCAATCTGCGACTCGGTATATACATATAACATCGTATATCTGTATGTTTCTCCAAGAGTAGACAACGATGTATTGCCAACTCTTGAATATGTGAAATAACTTTACCATAGCTTGCTTAATCGATTCACAGATTATTTTGTCACTTTTGCTAACTCACCCAACAAATTGGTGGTCTTAAAGTAGTGATCGTTCTTATCATTCTTTGCTATCTTGAACACAAGTTTGCAAGCCGCTGCCAAATGTGTCCCAGTCACTCGCATCTACAACAAATACAATTTAATTGTACACGTAGCACATGACGTAGCAGGACTCGTAGCGCGTAGTCCTGCTACGGCGTAGCTGTCAGTGAGCTGCAAGATTTTATTGCTTGTATAGTTTGTTGCTACTTTCGAATGGTAATAGCTTCACTGAATAGTTAGATCTATGGTAATACAGATTTAGTTCTCATCTCTTTTATTTTCACATTTAACACTTCAATCTGTTTCTACAGTCGTTTATCAACCAACGAGTATATTTGACGTGAAGTGACTACTTAATTAAGTTAAAAAGTATTATGTAACGTTAATCACAAACACGCAAGTGTTCTGAATATTGTTCTATAATACACTACATTTACATTATGAACGTACAGATAGCATAGCCCGCGCCACAGCGACGAGTATCCTCTCGTCTTCACTGTCGATGTGCATGTACAGAGACCGCATGAGTAGTTCCCGCAGACTGCCGCCAGGTGTAGTTGCTTGTAAGTTGGCCACCACTGCTTCCAGTAGTTGCAGCGTTCGGTGCGAGTCGCGACACCGCTGCGATAGAGCTTCTGATAGCTCTAATAACGTCATACTGTAAATTGAATAAAATATATCAACATCAACAGCCCGAAATAGTTCATTGCTGGACTTTCGTCTTCCTCCACATGGGGTTTGTTTTAAATAATCTCCTTGTTTAGCAAGAAAATTATCAAGCATTCTTTTTTCCCCTCTATTGATCTTTCCCCATTTACAATAGAGCGTGGCCAGAAGTGTCAGTAGTTTGGGGAGGTTTCAGCGGGCTTGAAAAAGAATTCAACATACTTTTCCAAACTGTCCGAGGATGTATTGGGTAGTTGCACGGCGAGATGTTTTACATCGATATCAGCTCGTAGACCGCTGGTACAGCTGGCAACGTCGCATGACGCTGCTTTCGTAGACACGAACTGCTTGCGTTTTGATGCACCAGCACCATCTGCTTGTAAGCAATAAGCATACCAAATTGATTATACATTTTAAAGGTAAATATGAAACTGAATAATAGTTATTCAATTCTTACCCTTAACATTGACGACATCGCCCATCAATATGCTGTCGATAGTGGTATTAGTTGCATCACCTAGAGGACGAGTTACTGAGATTGCTCCCGCTAAGCCGGCTTCAGGTTTTAATTCTGAAAGTACAAAAAAGGTAACATATACGAACGTAAAACAGTATATGAGAGCCTGTACTTACTATACTGATGGAGTGATGGTTAACTATATATATCATATAACTTATACTAATTTATCTTTGTATCCGAGAATTTTCAGTCAATATGGCGTAAGACATTTGACAATGAAGGTTTAATATGTGTATGTGTTAAGTACGTTAGTTATTTAGTAAGTCACTAAAATCATAAGTTTAAGAATGAAACAGAGAAATAATAATAATATTTTAAAATAAAAATATATGTCATCCTAGTTGTAAGCATTTTTGTAATAGGTTCCTATTAATTGTAACATTTTAACTTTATGAATTGTAACATCTAACTTTGTATGCCGAAAACAGTAGGCGATGTATGTGGGACTATTTTTTATAATTATTATCACCTGTAGTTACCATACTTCGTGCAAATAAACATTCTAAATATTCTAAACATTCGTTTCCTCGTACAAGGAATAATATAGCTGGCAAAAACTGGGTGTTATATTTAATATATTCGGCTCTGTCCAATCCTTTTGAGGAATAAACTATGCTATTTATGGCTCCATACTTTATGCTACTTTTTTAATTCTACTTATATGTCGTACCTTCAGCATGTACTTGTCCAGTAGTATTACGCCTGTGGAGAGGTTTGCTCCTACCACTGAGATGGGGCAGCTTGGTGAATCCCCCCCACATGTCACCTACCCCGCCTTGTCGAGCGTCCTTGCGTACCTGAATATTTTTTACAATATAAATAATGATTTCATTTCCTCATTTGTCCAACTTACACCAGTTTAACTCTTCCCAAATCTTATAGAATATCGGTATAAAACCAAACCGATATAAAACCCGACCGCATTTAGTTTTTGTCAAATGAAACATTTTCATAATCTTCTTGTTTCCCTGGCTAGTTTATTAGTTAGAAATAGATAAGTTTCCTTTAATTCTAAATCTGAGAGTTCTGATAAAGAAAAAGTTAGGAAAATTGCAGAAAATAAAACTCGTTGTCGGGGCGACAGGTCAGGTCAGGTCTCATAAATAGATGCATGTGCACAGTTTATAATCCTGCATGTTTCGGTATGCTAAGCTAGTTTTAGAATAGAATTCAAAAAAGGTTTTATTGTACGCCTTGCACGCGATGAGATTGCGAGGCAAAATATGAATATAAATAATTATACCTACAGAATTTTCTGACGGGCTAGCATAAATGGTGATATAAATACTTGTTAAATTTAAACTAATAGAAGCGTTTTCTTATACTTTGAAGGCGACAAAAACTTCGCTTAATAGGTAATAAAGATGCCTACAACTCTAGAAGCCTACGTTTATTTACTATGACATGATCTCTACTCCTGACAGACGCGCGACTGGAGCCAGGACAACGCAATGTTCTGGTTGGAATGCAGTACCTACTACATCTACATTCTAATTGAAGTCAAAAATGAAGATAGCCATGATGTTGACCAACCTCTTATAGAAGTGGTACATCAAAGAGAAAAAGAAGATCTTCATTCTAGACTATATTACGTATGCCATAACGGTCAACGCCCAGGTACGATTCTACTTACCGCAGGTTTTTTCCTGCTGCGAGTATCTGTGAGCATTTCATTGAGTGCCTCCTCATCCAAGTTAGCGATGCGAGCGTCCATCGCTGCCAGGGTCTCCTCACCACTCTCTGACAGACTCAGGAACTTCAGACTGTTTAATGAAAGGTGAAATAACACTTTTTGGGGTAACAAGTTTTTGGACACATTAACTATTCTAATTTCAAAAGAGCGGTTCTGTCCCTCTTTTATGATCAGTTTAATTTTTTTTTTGTATAAAAACAATTCATTTTACCGTTATGCTTTATTTGAATTTAATTAAGTGCCTTTTATTTTAATTAAATACTTTTACATACTCAAAACCACTGGGCGGTCTCGGTTCTTTCTTGTTGGTGTAAAGCGACCTCTGTGGTTCGCGAGGTGTGTACGGGCGGCGCGTGCGCAGCGGACGCAGGCTGCCACCAGCGCCACCACCGCTAGATGTGCCGCTCATCTCTGAACCAAGAAAAAGATTTCAAGTCACCTTTGTTACCTGCTAAAGTGTAATTTTAAGTAAACAAAAGCGTTGAAACATATCAAAGAAATGTGATCTGTGGGTAGGTGACGTGCTTATGAGTTGGATAATGACGACTTTTATTCAATGTAACATCCACTATTGTAGCCATTTAAGTTATTAAAGAGTCCCATGGAATAGGGAATGAGCCCTTAAGCCAGGTGCATGTTTAACTTGAAATATATTAAGTAATCTTTAATCCAAACTGTTCATGTCAGAACTGTAGAAGATTAAATTAAATGGATTGACATTTTGATGCAAAACAATTTAATCTAGCACATGTATGTACAAGTAAAGTTTCTTACAGTTGAAAATTCGTCCTAAATAGACTAATAAAGTGTAATAATTTCACCTAAAAATCTAAATTCTAAAATAACAAACAATGATCGCGTGAATGCCTGGGGCGCATAAAATGTTGACGATTTTCCGTCGAGTCATTAACATAATGAACCTGATGGTCTTTTTCGTGGAATTTACGAACGAAAACAGTTCCTTATTATTTTGGAAATTTTTTTATTTATTTATTTATTAACGCTTCATGCACAAAGTGTACACAAGGTGGACTTAATGCCGCAGGCATTTTCTCCCAGTCTGACCTTTGGGTGATGCAGAGAAGAGTGAATGGTAGGAGCAAGAAGCAGGCAACGATTTAATTGAGAAAATAGAAGATTATACTAACATATTTCAGAAATGAACATAAATAAATATAATAGTAATACATATACCTACACACGAGTACAATACAATATACATACATACATACATACATACATACATACATAGACTCATAGCATATAAATATGAACATAATAACTAATACTCTGTAAATAATTAGCGTGATGATTCAGCCAACCTCTTCAAGAGAAGCTCACGTACTTTCTGCCTAAATGTTAGACGTGTCGACACCATCCTGACATCCAGGGGGAGCGCATTCCACAGCAAAATTGCCTGTACGAAAAAAGAAGAATGAAGGAAATCAGTGCGATGAGTGGGACATTGGAGAAGACGGTTATGGGAAGAACGAAGGTTTTTACTGTGGTTTGCGCACAAGTATTGAAAGTAAGGAGATAGATAACTGGGTAAAGAAGGTGAACAAAGAAAGGAGAACAGAGTGGTTAGCGCCCTTTGCTCCCTGCGCTGGCGTATGGGCAGCCACTTTAGTTGCAGCCGATGTGCCGAAACATGATCATATTTACGCAGGTTGAAGACGAATCGAATGCAGTTATTCAGAAGTCGGTCAAGTTTGTTGAGGAAATCTGCATTCAGGTCGAAGTAGCACACATCAGCATAATCGATAATAGGGAAAACCAAAGCCTGCACCAACATAGCCTTCGTAGCGGGAGGAAGTAAGTTTTTCGCACGATACAAAACTCGCAAAGATCCAGTAACTTTTTTGCACACACTGGTGACCTGAGCATGCCACTTCAAATTTTTATCCATATGCAGTCCCAGGTTTTTCACCTCATCACTATACGGGATTACTGCTCCATCGAAAACTACGGCCGGCAAGGAAGCCATGTCAACTCCATTCAACGTGCGGGGGCCACCTATAAGAATGGCCTGACATTTCCCAGGATTCACTGCTATGCCAAACCTATCGGACCAGTTTAGAATGGCCGCCAGGTCATCGTTCATCTCCGAGATCGCATCAGACAGCCCATCAACATCAGCTTGACGATATAGCTGCAAGTCGTCAGCGTACAGATGGTACGCACACCGAAGTTCAGAAGTTATAAAATTAATGAACATAGAAAATAGAAGAGGAGATAGTATACCGCCTTGAGGAACGCCAGCCCTTAATTCACGCCAATTAGACGAAACATCATCAAGCTTGACCGACTGCTGTAAATCATGCTGGAAATCATATAATTTTTCTACAGGTATTTACGTATTATTTTTGGGCATAATCTATATACCTAAAAGTGGAAAAATCTTGCCTGGTTTCTTAGAATTAAGCAGTACCAAACAAACTTATACTGTAATTTCTAAAAATAAAACCTAATTTCTATACTTGTTTAAGTATCTTTCTTTTTAAAGTCCTTATCTATCTTTTAATGGGTTGGTAAATACTCTAAGTTCAATAGACATAGGAGAAAAACACATATATTAAAAGAATCGTGCCAGAAAACATTCAATCATTTCTCCAAAAAACCAAACCAACCATAAAGAAAACCGCAAACTTTTCATCGCTTATAAAAATAAAAAAAGTAAAGCGACAATGACCTTCTAAGGGGGTGCTATATCAAAGGTTGTGATTTTAAATCAGCGTTGTTTGAAGTGAGGTATTAATGTAGGGATGGCGTGCGAGGCTCACCGTGGCAACCAAGCCGGTAACAGTGTAACAAGAAGGAATGACCGCGTGACCTCGGCGATCAACCACCCCGAAGAAATGGCGCAAAGAATACCCCTAACTTGTACAAATATAGGTATAGCTTATGGTTTATATGGCAGTATAACGAAACGAAAACTTAGAATTCTATTGATGTTGTGCTGTTGATAAATGCATTTTCTTTCTTTTACTTATGAAACGGTGAACCTACTTTAATCTGATGTATCTGATGTTAATGTGACTTGTAGATACAATAGCTGTTCTTTTAGCGTGGAAGCTAAATGAAGTTATTTGGAAAACTCCACGTTGGGTTTGATGCCTTTCATTCATGTTACACATCATCGTAATCTATGAAATTGGAAGTAGTAAATAAAAATTTTGTTGGTATTTATTTACATTTCCAGCAAATTTGTGGTTTAAACGCGATTACGGGTACCTAAAGAGACAAATTGACTACAGATTCAATTTAAAAACATGCGTGAGTTAGCACCACGTACAATCATATAAAGAAGAAAATAAAACAACACAAATGGAGACCTTCATATCGTAAAAGTGTCTGGTGCAAAATCCGCAGTATTATCAACAATATACATGTGAACACAAAGCGTTATTGAATACCATAAAGGCAATTTATGACGTCAAAGGTAACGATGCGAAACTGTGTTTTCCAAAAGCTTGTATTATAATATCGTGACTCTTCAACATTAGCTCACCTTGTGGTTTCAACAAGGTGAGGGGTAGCGGTTGTCGCGCCAAATTAACCTCACTATCGATGTGCGAATAACGATAACGATTTGATAAATTCTATAACGATACTGCATCGATTATACAATGGTTTTCGACTAAAAGATAATAATTTCAGGTTCAGTTTAGTTCAGTATATAATTAAAGAATATTTCCTATGGGAGTTATGAATAAATTATTTAAGTCTTTGACTGCCGACAGAAAACTGTTGAAGGCATATCCTCCGCTAACGTAGGTCACCGGTGACCTACGTGGCAGTTAACGTGTAAAAACATAATCTTCCCTGTCAACCTGTCTCCCATAGGGGCTATAGAGGTATATAACCAGAGACTATGGAACGCCAATCTCTACAATTCTTACATAGCTTTTCTTGATTTTTTACTTTCGCTTCCTCAACAGTCATCAGTGTATATATGCATGGGTTAAAACATTATTATAGTGATAATGACATTGCAATTAGAAAGGTATGCGGTCTATAGTCGAAAGCTGCGTATGATTGATAGAAGAAATGACATTTTATCATTGCCTCTTCTTGTAATTAGGTCATTGACATCATTTATAATGATAAATGATAGTAACTAGTGGTATTAATAAACCCACCCTTGTTATTTGTTCGGCAACAAAACATTCTTTGAAAGTATTAAGCGTAACCTTTTTGTCTCAATTAGAAACATGATGAACACATGAGCCCTTTTTTGCTTGTTTTGTTAACAACACTGGTCAAAGGGAAAGAAAGGCAGTTTTGTGATATTACATTTTTTGATTGCGAAGTATCACTTATTTAAGGTTCCGGTTTAGCTCAAAACTGGTCGGGCAATCCAGGCGTATGATAATTGGTATAAACGTTATTTAATAAATCGTGCATCTCTTACCGCCGTAAATAGCAGCTCTTGCTTCACTGATGATCTCTGCAGAGGTTTTACGCCGCAATGGCGCGTAGAAAGGTGCGCCTGGGCCGCGTCGAGCGCCTCGCTCGCTCATTGTCTAACCTGTTAACAAAAATAACCAGTTTTATCTGGTTAACCTGTATGGTGAGACGTAGGAATGTGGTCATACCTAATCGAAAATGAACGAATGATGACTGCAATATGCATGTAAAGACATTTTCCGGTTCATTTTTTAATCTGATTGCTTTTCATTTATATTTAATATTATGGATGCATCGCACGCACGGATAGTGTGAATCATATAAAAATAAAACCTTTCCACTGAATCAATTTTAACTATACTTGGTATTACTATTTGAAATTACGTTTAGCTATTATTACTTTAATCGGTTACACCGTAACACAGCAGTTAATTAAAGCCTCCGAAAATGTATTCAGCCTTTACAATATCACCCGAATTTATGTTTTTATAACGAGTTACATGGATTGAGCCAAACACCGGGAATACATAGTTTCAAATAATTTACTAATACACATTTTCTAATCGGTGGTTTTCAGTTTAAAACGACTTCTAAATTAATTATACAGTAGCTGGATGTTCTGAGTCAGGGTGTGATGTATGATGATGATGATAATGTGTTTATGTGGATTTGTAGAATTAAAACAAAACAATTTACTACTACTAGGATTAGGTACTAGACAAAACTGGTACAAACTGATTGAGTTCAACTGCTATCTATGTAGAATAACATGGAACTTAAATCATAGAAGTTAGACCTTGTTAAAAGTAGGACGATGTGAATAAATAATTATTAATATTTGTGTTGTATGTCCATAATATCAGGGGCAGTAGATAGCTGACGTGGTGACTGTTGGGCGACCTACATACGGAGTAAACTATATTCATTTGATTAGGTAAAATGTCACCATATTGTGTTACCTCAATACACCTACATTGGGTGATCAACTACTGACATACATTTTTAACCGATACTCCTATTGGAACACGGTTTTGTTGCTGACGATCACAATACAGTGACTACCAATGTTTCCAGGTTCAATTCCTTAGCGCAAAATATTACTAATTGGATAAAGTATTTTCGGAAACGTCAAGAAATACGAGTATATGACAATAGGCTCATCTTATTAGATGAGACTCATATACTTGTGAAAAGAGTGTGTTTCAGTTTTCAGGTGTCCATCCTAATCACAGTGGGAAATTAATTCGGTTATCCTTTAAGAATGCTGTAACTTACTTAACGTAATTTTAATGAAAAAAAAACATGCAAAAGGTACAGAGAAACTCGGAGAATAGGGCCGTACGAAGCAGATACACGGTTGACTAATAAAATTCATTTATTTTAAAGAAAGTACATTAGCTCTATGAACATAAGTCTTAGCGCTAAAAACCTTTACTACTTTTTATCTTCGTGTCATTGTTTTGAGACATCACTCGATGGCTAATGGCTGGGGAAATAGGCTCACATAACTAATCAAAAACATTTTACTAATAATACCAAACTATGACGCTACCGAGTTTCTGCAAACTATGATTTATATTATATAATTATACAGGAAGGCTAATGCCTTCCTATATCATTATAGTTTTGGTTCTAATGTACCAATACGCATGTTATTTACTTCAAGATATTTTGAAGATAATTTGAAAAAAAAAATTAGGTATATAGGTAACTTATAATATACGTCTACATAATTATAATAAAATTATAGATTTACACTTTTGAAAACGAATTAGTTTAAAAATATAATTAAAACCGAGCTCAAAAAATTCAAAAAATGCCTGATCATTTTTTATATACATTTAACTAAAGACATTTGTTATAGATGTAGTAACAATGAATATTAGAAACTAAAACTGAACAACTCACCGTTTATTTGATCTAGATAAGCACACTAAATAAGTTTTATAAGTCGCAACTTGTAGCCGAAGCTACGAAGGCGGGCGGCGCGCTACGAGTGCTACGATATACTGCTACGATGCCTACGACATTGCTACGTTACTCCCTATAAACTTGCGTTTCGTAGCAAATAGGGCGAGTTTTCAATTATTCGTAAACCAAAGCTTAGTAATCGTACTATTACAGGTAGTTAGTACTACTGATTGATTGCGCTATAAATATTTTATTAACAAGGAGTTTAAGTAATGGAGACCTTGCTTTCTCACAAAACTATTAAACAAAATTAAAAATTGTTCTACAATACGAGTTTTAGCCAATACGTTAATATCATCTTATTTCAACAATAAATATTGTCTCACCAATTACTCGAACAATATTAAGCTAAACTTATTCAAATGAAACGGTGGAATAATGGAATAATTAATTAGAATTGCAATAATCTTATCAAAGGCTTACGTTATTGATTGTTATATATTATTTTATTTAACCTTGATGTGTACAAACTGCTCATTAACTTGGATTAAGTGATGGGTGGCTTTTATATTGTTTTTATTATAATACACGAGTGGAGCATGGACAGTGATATTACCGTCGTTAGCAACAAAGCTTACGGCCCGTTTATACCGATGATATAAGTTGCTCATCATAGCTTAAGTACACCTAGAAACGCTTCGCATCAAGCTTCCTTGTGCGTACTGCTAAGGAGTGAAATTCTTTGCCAGAGTCTGTATTTCCTGAAGGGTATACCCTGGGTGTCATCAGGGCCCGAGTGAATAGGTTGCTTATGGGACGACGAGCTACATCATAGACTACATTATCGCTTACCATCGAGGCAAGACGAGATAGTAGGAAACGTAAAAAATAATAATAAAAAAAGTAACGTAGCAGACTGTGTAACGAGAATGGTACATCAAAAATAGGGATGATGACAGGGTATGAAAATTAAAATCCTAATTAGTCCGTCAGTTAGGTAATGAAAAAATATTGTACATGTATTTTTTTTATTTTGTCGTATAATAAAACAATACTTAGATAAAACTAATCAAAGTTTACTACGCTACTTTTTTTTGAGTATAAATCGTACCTACTCAAACGGAGAACCTAACAGGTAACCGGGGCTCCGGCTCGACGTGCAGGAGAAGGAACGGGGTGGTTTTTAGTCAGTAAAAGTCTGACACTCCCTCCAGCCTCACCCAGGCGGGAGCAGTCATTCGATGATTTTCCCCCCTTAAAAAAAAAACTCAAAAGTGACGTCATGCGATATTTCAAATCAATATATCTTCGAAACAATATTCTTTTCCGTAAGAAAATCTTATCTTATACTTCTTATACTATTATATAAAGCGGAAGAGTTTGTTTGTTTGAACGCGCTAATCTCCGTAACTACAAGTCTGATTTAAATAATTATTTTTGTGTTGGATAGCGCATTTATCGAGGATGGCTACAGGCTAGAACATCACGCTACGACCAATAGAAGTTGAGCTAGCTAAAGTACTTGAGGACCTCAAGTACTTTGAAAGTACCTCAAGTTGAGGTACTTTGAAATGTTTATTCTTTCTTTTGAAATGTATATTCACTTACCTCAAGGCATATTGCGAACCTCCTTATTTCTTCCATAAAGTTGCGAACTATCAACCAATAACTATAAGTATAGCAGATTTAAACTACGACGTAAACGTACTGTTTACAAATGCGGGGAAATCGATAGGAAAACAGACTTTTCCTGTCGGTTGCCTAGGTAACCGAGTCAAAACATTACGATTCAAGGCGTTGATGGGAAATGTTACGTGGAACTCTGAATCATGAGTCCACGTCAACTTAACATAATAATTTACTATCACACGCACATAATTTACTAACTTCGCACGCGTCAATCCTTTGCGTATTTTTAAACATCTAGGCATACTACATAGGGACAGTAGTAGATGACAGTGTAGTGATATTATGATTATTCAGTATTTTCGAAATATTGTCCTGCTTGCCTGCCTGATTTTCTAAGCCAAATGCGAATCCTATGATTTGATTATTTTAAAGAATATATATTTAAGTAGGCCACAATCTTCCTAACACTTACTTGTAATATAGCTATGCATAACTGATAAGCCTATTTTGAAAACGGTAGATGTTAAATTTCATAGATCGAACCTACCTTTAGACCCATGGTACCCACGGAACAGCTACTGTTTTGTACACTTAAACTATATAAAAAAGTTTTACCTCAGTTAAGGAGAACTTCTGATATCCTTGGTATAATCATATTGAATACAGGAATAAATATCGATCACATGTTCAAAAGTATGACAACGCATCTCTCATCTTGCCAAATGATATAAAGAAATAATAAAATATTTTTAATATTATCCTAAACAACAGTTTAATACATTTTCAAGAGATGCTCAAACCAAAATCAGTTAAACACATCACTTTGGTATCACATGTCGTTTTGACATGATGAATATTAAATAAAAAATTTAACAAATACAATGACTTTTTATCCAGACAGTATTTAAATAAACCGCCATTTTAGCAAACGATTCACTGGCACTCACAGACTTAAAATAGAAGCAGACCGAACATTAGCTAAAATTTATAAAGCCAAAAACACACTTGCGCAATTTGTAGCTTAAACGGGGCCGGGCTAAGGTACATAGAGATAAGCGTGTTTTTGGGATAAATATTAAATATTGAATAAATAACAATTTTTACTATAATTTTGATGTGTGTTACCGAAAATGCATGAGAATCCTATGAAATTTATTTAATTTCAAAATTAGGTATTTTGGAACCATAAAAAATATAGTTTTAAAAATTGTTTAATACGCAGGTGTGTATTAAATAATTATACCATAGAAAATGTAAAAAATTGCTTTCTCAAATAAAACACGTAGAAGGGAGAATAATAAGTTTTATGGCAATTTTGAAGGCACTTGTTATGGTTTTTTTAAGGAGGGAAAATCATCGATGGCTGCTCCCGCCTGGGTGAGGCGCGAGGGAATGTCAGCCTCTTACTGACTAAAAACCACCCCGTTCCTTGTCCTGCACGGCGAGCCGGAGTCCCGGTAACCCGTTAGGTTCTCCGCGACTCCGAATCGGCATCGGCCCTCTTGGGCCCCATCTGTGGTGGAGTTGTTATGGTTAAGAATAGTCATCTCCCTCCACTCAATAACACTGAACACTCCCAAGACAAGTTCTTTTCTTGTTCTGTCCTGTTAAATTATATTGTACTTTCCTAAGCATTTCAGGTATATGATGATATTATTTGATTGCCTATTATAATTGCCTATAGGCAATTGTGATAAAATTGATACATAGTGGGTACATAATATAACATCTGTGTGATGTTAGATTATACAACTTTGTAGTAACTATTACTCAATATGAAAACAATATATTTATTTGTTAGTTTAACCTTTCGAAACACTAAATCCGTCCTCTGTTGATTCTATAAGTACTTGAACTGTCATGAATCAAAAATTAAGTTGATTTTATTTGTTTATTATTTTAGTACATTGCAGTCTAACTAAACTTACCATTTTATTTTAGATTATTTAAACGTTTAATGGTATAAACAATTAATATTTTCTTTTATAACGAGATTTACACAGTTGTAGGTAAAAACATCAATATGGCGGCACGGAAAAACTGGTTACATGTCAATAGCAGTGTGGCTACAGGTAAAAGTACGAGACGCCATTATTAGGTTGGTGCTTGACAAAACAAGGACAAATAATATTGGATATCAAATACGTATAACTATTTAGGAGTTAATTTTCGGTCTGCTTATCTATTGTTAGTCTATGCTGGCAATTCACTGGCTACAAAAAATAAAACATAAATAACATGCCAAGAATTTTTTGGTGAATTATTTTGTATAACAATGACCATTTATTTACAAAATGTAATACCGAATACGTCCTATCGCGAAACATCTTTGCAAATTTACGAACACGAATTTTGGCGTTCAAGTGTAGCATACCAATGAAGTGTAGCCACTTATACTCTTTGGTGTAGCCGTGGTGTAGCCACAACATATTTTCTCTTTCCGACTTTCCGTCAACTACTGTCAAATGTCACATCCCGGCTATCACATTCATTCACATCACATTGCTGTCAATTTGTCAAGTCAGTTATTGTGTTTTGAAGTTGTGGGTTGCATTTTCTATGAGATTGTGGTAATGTGAAATAATTTACGGAATTACATTCATATAAAACGTATCAAAATTATTTGCTTTGTGGACAGAATATTCCATGAAGATTGTTGAAACTATATCATGGAGCAGCCTAAGCCACATTCATTTTATGATTTATGCAGACTTTGTCTTGAAAATCAGGGCTTAACTAACATATGTTCAAAAGAAGGGCTAACTCAAGATGTATATCTATGTACAGGTGTAGTTGTACGTATCTATTTCATTAATGAATATTCATAACACACTGTGTATGCCTACCCTACATTGAAGTTATTTACGCAAACTTATGTCTTTAAAAGCTTATTGTTAATTTAGCATGTTAACAGTAACCGGTGTTTTACTACTAATTTTAATGCTGATACAAAAACAATTATGCAGGTCGAAAGGGGGGCCTGCTAGTCGCGCCAATATGGCGTTCTCGGTTCGACGCTCGGCCTCGTACGATTGCTTTTCCCGTGGCCTACGACTTCATTAAATAATCAATAAATAATTTCATGTAAATAATCATTTTACAATACATTTTTAACAGGTTACAGAACATCCTGCAGGTGTCTGACTGGGGTCCACAATATTTTACAGATATTTATTCCTAAAATAACAGTTTTGTCTAGAAAATTTTATTAGTTAAATATAAGATTGTGTTATAGCCAAAATTTGTTAACATAATATTTTTTTCCAGGTTTCTAGCCGAGATAATTTACCTCAGAAGATATGCATCAAATGTGTAGAAGTTATTGTAAATGCAAAACGGTTGAGAGATAAAGCTATGGCAACTGATAGACATCTGAAGTGCTTGTTTGTTGATGATGATCCATTGAGTTTGGGGTTCAGCCAATCAGACAAGGTACATTTCCAACTAATATTATAAATGTGAAAGTTTGTATGTTTTTTTTTATATATTATTATTAAACTTCAACAAATACAAAATAAATAATTGTCTGTCAGGCAGTCCATCAGTGAAACTAGGTGAAGATAGGTGCTCATTCCAAAATGTAGATTTGAATGGAGAAGTACAAGCAAGAAACTCCATTCATTACTCTTTTTAAAAAAGTATGTTCCTCCTTCTAGTCAAAACAGCTGAAGAGATCCGAATGAAATATGCAACAGGGGTACATACATCTATCTAAATCTATACATTTAATTTTTAGAAATGTTTAGTGGTCTCAACTAAATGATTAGTTGAGCTGTCTATGTATTGAGTTTTCCGCAGGTTTCGTAGCTAGTTTTTCATTTTGCTTGTGTAAAATTTTGTAATTAATTCTATTTTCAGGACCCTGCAGAGAGAAATTCTAATTCTCGGAGGAGCAGCACAGATTCTGACAGAACAGTGAAGTTAGAGATTGATGAAATACAGTACTGTGCCAGAGAGGAAGAAGAAGGCGAAGAACATGAACAAGATGAAGTAGAAAAAGGAGAACAAAATGAAAATGAAGATGAAGTAAAAAAAAAAGAACAAAATGGAGATGAAGTAGAACACGAAGAAAAAACAGATGACGAAGTAGAAAACGAAGAGGAAGAAATCATACCAAAAAAAAGGAAGGCTAGAAGATCTGATTCCTCGGTAACTTCGGAGAATGTAAGCTTGTTTTTAACCTATTTATTTATTTATTTAAGGGACAAAAAACAGTTACATATTAAGATTTTACATAAAAGTTTTACATTAAACAACAACTACAATAAAATATACAATGTAACCCACACCATTGCCCACCAACCTATGTAATAATAGGGTAGATGACTAATTTTTATTTTAATGTCCGTCTTGTAGATTATTTTAAAACATTACACACATATTTTTTATGTTTTTACAGAAACAAATACTTTTTCTTTATGGGATAAACCGGTAAACTAGCAGACGGATCACCTGATGGTAAACAATCGGCGTCGCCCATGGACACCTGAGAACACCAGAGGCGTTAGAAGTTCGTTACCAGCCTTTTGGGATTAGGAACCTGAGGAATGTTGGTGATTCAGGGATTGGGGTAAGGGGGGGAGGGTAATTGGGCATCCGGTAACGTCACACACACGACGAAACACAACACAACGTTGTTTCACGTCGGTCTTCTTTGAGGCCGTGGTATATTTTACGATAATATATTGATTTGAAATGTCGCGTGACGTCACTTTTATGTACATTTTATACGTAGAAATGACGTTTTAACCCCCACTCCTAAACTTTGATTCGTTATATGTAAGTATCATTTTATGATACGACGAAATAAAAAAATATGTGTCTAATATTTTTTCATTACTTAACTGACGGACTAATTAGATTTTTAATTTTCATACCGTCATCATCCCTATTACATTGTCATCACTCTTCGCCAGTGTGTGAGAACTATATATTTTTATGTTCATTACTAGCTACTTGCCAACGGTTTCACCCACTCTGCTCGGCTCCTATTGGTTGTATTGTTATGTTTTATGCTTCGCACGGGTGCAATATGCATGTATTATACATACAAACCTTCTTTAAGAATCA